TCTGCATTGTTCCAATAAAATGAAACCTCGTCCGGCTGGTTGAAATCGAAAAGGCACCAGGCGCCGCAATGGCTGAACATCTTGTTCGCAAGTGCAAGCTGCACAAACGGAGTGGTTGCTGGCTCGCAACTGACGGCATCAGCAGACAGCATGCCCCAGTTCGAAAGGTCACAGATATCCTCCATGATCTCGATGGAGAAGTCCAGTACAGGTGAGCACACGGCTGTGGTGGTTGATGAAGAAGTAGTTGTCGACCCTGTGGAACTGGAGGCCTCAGGAGATGCAAGCTGCCGCTTACAGCTCAACAAAAAGCTCAACCGTTAAGGAAAAGGGAAGCCGAGAAAGGTAAAAGTTCTCCCGTCGGCCTAGGTACTGTGATGTTCACAGTTGTGCTCAGGCCGGGTCTATCCGGCAGACACACTCCTGTCTCGAACATGGGCTCCCACCTGCAAGCGCCATTTGCGTTGCAGGCAGAGGCATTCTCCACGTTGAGGCTGCAATTGGAGATGTAGGCCAACGTGTCGGCATACTCCTCGAAGCCGTATACACTGCAATTTCGTGTGTCCACTGGAAGTGGCTCCCACAAGGTGGTCCAAGACCTCCAACCTGTGCCACACTTAAGAGCCAAGCCAAGGCCGACGAAAGCTAGCTGCAGCATGCTGCTACTGAGACTGGTGATGATGACGATGATGAAGAATGCCGACAATCCTTCTTGAGACATGGTCTAGGCTACTGCTAAAGCAAGTCCAAACTGAAGCCTAGCTTGCATTAGCTAGCTTTCGTTCGTGACATCGGGTAGTCGCATCTGCAAAACCTACACCTTATCCTACCTACTCAAGGCTTCCAGCTCAAATCTTACTGAACACAGAGGTTACGGTTCAACCACGGCCCAGCCACCGTAGCGCGTCCTCTCCCTGGCTGTTCCGGTGATGCTCATGCCCAAGCTGAGTTTCCAGGCCATGAAGTCGTCTGCCGATGGACCCGAGACCAGCTGGCAGTCTTCCAGCGACTTGTCGCCGGCAGCCAGGGTCCAGGCTGCGCAGAAGGACTCGGTTTCCGTCGTGTTGAAGAGGACCTGCCAGCTGTCGGGGCGAGCTGGAGCTATGCAGGGACGAGACAAGTTGGGAGCCGTGGTCTGGTGATGGAGCCCTTCCACGCTCGGGACGCGTGCGAATAGCCCGCAGAATGCAGGCAAGCTATCCATCCTCATGACTGACAAGGCAGCAGGCTGTCCGTTTAGCAGAGTGATTGGATCGCCTAAAGCCTCCCCGCTGCAGATATGGAGCATCTCCTCCCAGAAGTCGAAGCGTGCGCTTGCTACGGACCCAAAGCACGCAGAACTTCCAAGACCCATTAAACTAAGGAACCCATCTTGAATTACGCAGGGGTCTTCTGTGGGATTAAAATTTCAACGAGGTTACTGAATGAAAGGGGTTTTGGAAGCTCCGACAAAGTGCGCGACTCGGCGTGTAACCGCCCCCTCTGACGGCCCGCCGCGATCAACCGGGTTCTGGAGGGGCCAAAGACAGAGAAGAACAGCCTCTGAAACATTGCAGAACCCCAAACTGCCCAGAACCATACATCTCCCACCTTACTTAACGGTTATCTGGGGCTTGCTTGGGCCTGATTTTGGCTCGTGGAAATGATTAGGCTCTACAGACATGGCGGTCCTCGGTGACATCGTGGTGGTAGTTCAGCTTGATACCAAAGAGCTCTTCAGCCTGCTCCAGAGATGCCTTGCCTTGGCTGACTTCTGCACCCCTCCAAAAAGTTGCGAACCATAAACCTCAGCATGGCTGCATGGCTGTGCCTGGAAAGTGTGTATCCGTTTTGCGGTGTCTTTATTTCTAGTCTTATCTGAATAAGGGCCCTGACACTTGGGGTCTATTAGCGCCTGTGATTTTTCTGTGTCCATTCCGATAAAGACTGTAGAAAGCCCGTTAGAGTCGCAAAGTTGCATGATTATGTCCTCGACGAATGTGTGAAACGTTCCGACCCCAGGCGTTCGGGGGCTTCGAGAGAGACATTTTGTATCGCAGGAGACTCGGGTCAACCCCCTGTGCCAGAGCTTGGGAGATTCCCGGGAGTAGTTCCGGTCTCACAGCCGTCATGGCATTTTTGGGAACTCTGATTCCGAAACCGCTGCCGGAACGAACCAGTCCAGTCGCATCTGCCAGCTTTGCGAAGTGAGCATTCAGAAAACGAACCCGGCAACCAGATCACTCCCTATCGCTCAGATTCGCTGTGTTCTGCACTCGCTCAAGATGGAATGAAGAAGTTGGTGGTGAAGCGTTCAGTATTCTGGACCACAAAGTTCTCCCTTCCCATTCCACGAGAGATAACTACATGCTTTTCAACCTGGATGTGAGGTACTGCATGTAGGGTTTTGAGCAATTTTTCCAATCCGGAGATGGAATCTGGAGAATCTTCACCATGACATGAGGGACCCTGCCAGGGTCCTGCGTCGTCAGGGTCGTTTCGTCGGAGCGCTTTGAACGGCGATTTCTTTCAATCCGAAATGAACCAAGTGTCCGCTGATAGCTGGAAGTTCCACCGAGGAAGCCTCAAGGTTTGGAGGTATCCTGTCTGGGGTCACTGGCGCAAAATTGACCGCTGCAGGGCAACTTTGTCAACCCACAGCGAAATGGGGGCATCCGCCCGCCAAAAAGTTAGAGTCCCAAACGACAACCAGAAGACAGCCAAGTTGCAGTCAGGACGGTCCATGCAGTAGGAGGAGCTGGCCAGAAGGTACGGCAACACCGGCTGGCCCATGTGCATCAGCACACTGACGGGGGCATTGATGATGTGGTAATTCGTGGTGACCGCAAACCACGGTGTCTTTACTTTCGCTGCCACCTCACAGAGACCCATCATGGGGCTCTGCTCAGACGCTTCAACGCTCAGCGTCACGTCCCCGCCGGGGGCCGGGATGGTCTGCGTCTCTACATCGGTCGAGTCGTAAGTGAGCAGCAGGATATTCTTGAAGGGGTGGTTCGTCCCGATGCTGCTCATGAAATGGTCATTCTGTTGGCTGAGAGCAGCAACCCCTAAGGTGACTTCCGCACCAGAGAGGCTGTCGAAGATGTTGCTGATGGAGCCGTGGCGAATGTAGGCACCAACATCATGGCTCTTGTTGAGCAAGGTGTTGGCATAGTTCCGCACAAGCTGGGTCCTGTGGCAGACAAGAGCTTCGAAGTACTTCATCGAACATGGTTCCCAGCTGCGTGCAGTCCTACGCTACAATGTAAACAAAACAACGCTCAATGAGGCCCAAGGTCTCTGAGCTGTACGTCGTGGGGCTGCCGTTCCGAGCTGCCCAGGCCTCTGTCAATCTGACGCATGTGTACCACGGCTCGTTGTACCCACCATCTACCTATCAATGTGCCTATCTCCCTACATTCTACCTATCTACCTATCGGTTGATCGTTACATAAAACTACATAAATGCAAATACAGATACATATAAATATATACACATACTATGTAAAGCTATATATATATATATAGGTACATCTGTATACATGTATATATATATACACACACATATATACATATATATATATATACATGTATTATGTATGTATATACATATATACATATATACATATATATATATATGACAGTGTATGATATATGTATATATGTGTATGTGTAAATATGTTTTACATTTCGTATAGTGTATGTATATGATGTATATATGTATATATGCGCATGTGTATATATGTACATTTGTACATATGTATATGTGTGGTCAAACCATCATAAGAAACCCGGTTCACAGAGGCGTGGGGACTTGAGGAGAGCTTGGGGTTTAGGGCTTTCTGACGTCTTGGCTCGAGATTCCTCGGCCAGCATGGTGTTGGAGCCTGTCATCGCGGCCTCGCTGATCGCGGAGTAGGCTGTGTCAAAAGCCATCTCCTCCATCACCTGTGCACTCCCCTCCCTATCGGATCCTATCGTTGGTCAAAATAACCCAAACACAGAGCCTCAGAGACCCGAGCGGGATCCCGGAACCTTGAGCTGATTTTAAAACTTGTGCGCCTGGCTGTTTTCCGGGGCTTTGATGAGGTTGAAAAGGAACTTCGACCACTCATGCTCCAGGTTGTAGATGGCATTGCCTCGGGGCTAAGTGCAAGAGCTCGTAGTAAGGAACCGATTAGATTTGGCTGATTCAAAACCTGAACCAAGCACTTAAATCCACTGACCCCGCTGAAGGGGGCGCGCGCACGCCCAGAGCAGCCAGGCCCTTGCGTTTCCTTCTTTGAGCAAGCATGGATGGCGCATTGCAACAGTGCGCAAGGTCGAGAATCCGTCCCTCCCTGCCCCAACCAAAACCAGCAGGAAAGGTTTCTTATGAGTCCAATCGCGTCGCAACCGGAGCGGGTGTCCGTCTGCCCACCCTGCTCCCCTTAGCACCGCCACCCAGACCACCCAAAAAACGGTTTCAAACAATGCAAGTGCTTCCTGATTTCTGGCTGCACAACAGTCCGAGCACATATGACCCCTCGCTAAGCTTGCACAGACGACGGATTTTGCGACCTGGCGCAGATTGCTACGCTTGCTACAGCCCTTACGCGTGTTCGGCGGCAGCGGCGGTAGCCTTGATTATTCAGCCACGTAGCGTGCAAAACCGTTTTGGTCTCATGCGGAACCTTGCAAAAGTTAGGGTCCCGAAACGCAAGACTCCTATACAGAGGATTCCGCACGAAGGAAAACACCCCACCGAAATTGAAGATCTTCAACCCCGCTGCCGTTGATATGGTTCAGGATGTAGGTCGGCATCATATAGGAGAAGGGTTGCCAATTCGACCCGGAGTAGAGGCTCCCGCGGATGGCCATGTTCCTCGGCTGCAGGAAGAAAGACAGGAGAAAGACAGGAGAATGATGAGGAGGAGCAGAAGATGAATGATGCCACATGGACAACCATCAGAGCGATGCCGCTTGCTTAATTGCTACAGGCTGAGCTGTAAGCCTAGTTTCTTTGCAGACATCTCTGCAGCCTCCTCCTCAAACTTGTCCAGCCAGCCAGACATCACTGGTACGGCATCTACTTCCATCCAAAAGATGTTGCTGTACTCGCCCACGAACGCACCGGTATAGAAGGCTTCCATGCTGCGCATGAAGACCATGTTGGGGCCTGTCACCCAGTGCTTGTTCATGGCATACCCGTGCTCATCGTACTGATCCTCCGCCGCCATGAGCCCTGCAGACATGTGCTTGATGCCTGCAAAGCATCCGGTCCAGGTCTGGCCCTGGGCAAAGCTGGCTTCGTATGCTTCAACTGCGGTTCTGGCCTGTGGGTTCGTGCCAATGTCCTTGCTGTACACCAGGATCAGGTCCACCTGGCTTGTCAGGTCCGCCTGGCGTGTCGCCGGCTCCGCGCAGGGCATTATGGCATCCCATTCCGTGATGGACTTTATGAGGCGACCAATCTCGTCGTTGGTGGCGAAAGTTCTGACCACGGCCATCTTCCCCACCGCGGTTTGGGTCATGAGGCTCATCGCAATTACCGCGGACGACAACATCCTCACATCAATCGCACGAAAAAACACAAGCAGGGTGCCCAGTCTCACGGTTGTGTTAGGAACTTCTGCTTGCAGAAGCCAATGGCAACGGCTACCGCTTCCAAGATCCTGCTCGAAGCTTCAAACTTCGTGAAAAAACACGAACACACAACCTTCATTTCTTGAGCCCAGATTTCGCACGAATCTCGGATTCCAAGTGAGACTGCAGGACTACAACAAACAAGTAGAAAAAAACAACGAGTAAAATCACAAATACTGGTGGGCTGGACACTGCAGTGAAGCATGTTTCACAACGACTCTGAAACTCATGGACATGATATGAAACCTTCACATGTCGAGTGACGTCAGAGAAGGGAAAAATCCAGCACGTGAAATTAAAGCAAAATTAAAATTTCTGGTGAAAACAAGCCGTACGTGGGCAAGTTGCGATGGTGGCTTGTTTTCACTGGGAGAGTTATGGCTCGATATCAAACATGTCAACTGCGAAGCTTGTAAAAGCTTCCGCCGTATTATCCAAAACTTGTGAAATCAAGAAGCATATAACCTCGATTCCAATCTTGATAATCAAGTATGTATTCCAACATATTGCAAACTCACGCGCACACTGAGCTCTATGTTTTCCGCGAAGGTGGCATGGGGCATCCAAAGACGTTTGCTCATCTACATTTCTTCCTGCACATCCAGCAAAGTGAATGTGGCACATCCCGCACCCTCTTGGGCACTTGTGCCCCATTCACCCAAAGACTGCCGGAAGAGCCTGTGCAAGTATTGCATGATCGACTTGCGAGGTCCTCTTCGCACTGGGCGAAGAAGTCGATCAAAGGTGCGCACATGCTTTCGTTACTATGGCCTCTGACGAAACTCCCAAACACATCTTCATTGTCATTAAAAATGATGGTGCCTTTACGGTCCACGAAAAGATGGAAGACTTTAAGGCAAATGCTGAGCACCAGAGCCTCAAGCTCAAAGATGACCGTCTCTTTGATGCGGCTGCCTCCCTTGACTTCAGCAGCTTTGAGATGCAACAGCACTAACCACTCAGTGCGGTTCCCGAAGACCCGAAAAGGTCGTTCGGCTCAAGTGAAGCGTCCACGCAAATGTGCACAAAGTTATCCCTCCTAACTCGCACCCGGCGGGGACGACCATGCTCCAAGAAATGCTTTCTCAGGACAAACGCGTGGATGCACTCAACTCCTACTTGCGCTGCCGCGCATGCTGCGCGAGCAATTTCAAAGATGCCTTTGGCCGAGCCGCAAAGCTTTTCACTCTCCACAGGATCAAGCTGGCAGTCGTCAGAGCATGCGATCTGATCGACAGCCTCGACGCGTTTATAGCATAGCCATGTTCAAGGAAATTGAAATCTATCTTTTGCGTGCATCTTCTACTTCTTGGACTAACGGTTTGTGATCGGCTTAAGGTGACAACAATGCAGAGACGGTTTTTTGGAGTAGAAAAACCACTCGAAAAACGTTGCCACGGAGAAAGAGGCTCCACGGTGCTGGAACATCTTGTTTAGACGTTGGTTAAGTCAAGCACAACCGCATTGTTTGTCGTTGTTTCCAGCTCGCTGATCAGCAGCTGCTAGCTCAAAAAATCTGTCGCATTACGTGATCCGTAGACTCAACGACCGAAGATTACGTGATCCGTAGACTCAACGACCGAAGAAGAAGCTGCGGTCGGAGTTGCAACCGTTAAAAATCTAGAAAGCCTACAAACGCTTTCGGGGCTTCAAGCAGACTCAACCAAGCACCCTTGCAAGCAAGCAATCTCACAAAACACTCGGACAGTTCACACTTTCAGCACGCACAGCTCACTGCTGGTCTCGTGTCTTGAGCCAAACGACAGTAGTCGTGGCATCTCTTAAAAGCTCCCAAGACAGGTAAAAACAAGTGAGGCAACAGCCAAAACTACCGGCACTGCTCAAACTACGTTCTACAGGCACTAACCACCT